GTTTTGGTTCTCCGGGAACGAAACGAAATGTATGAAGCCACGCTTTCGCATACTGCCTGCACTGTCAAAACATTCATAATTTGATTCATATGAATACCTAGTGGCAAAAATCCACAGTTAATTGTATGACAAGTAGTAAATTTGTTCGCTCTACTGCTACTACTAAAGGCATTACAATTGATACAACCTGAAGGGCACTTCTTCTTTGGTTAATTGCTGAATATTAAGGTATAAGTTTTAGTTATGCAACTAGTGTACAGTATTCCCCTTTGGACATTTTTCTCGCCCTGCACATTAATCATTATTTAAGGTTGTTGCACCTGAAAATATTTTCAGACTAAAAAAGCACTTATTCGACAAAAAACTTTTTTTTATATTTTGTAAAAAGGTTTTCCAAACAAAAAGATAGGGGATGTAGCCGACACTGGCCGATCTAGGTTAAGCCTGCGGCTTAAGCGCCACTCCGTCAAAGGAGACCGCAGGCCACGTTGAGTTTGCCCGGATGAGACTGCCTCAGGGCGAGTCCAAGTGAAAATCTTCATAGAAAGAAGAGATCCAGCCAGCTTGACTACTACCGAATTTGATCGAGTAGAAACCCCTATTGCGAAACAGCATAATCTCTCACAACATCGAAATAATTCTGAAAAGCTCCCGGTAAGAGAATACACAAACCCTAAACGACGGTCCACGTCAAGTTCTCCTCATCGGTAGCTTCACTTAAATTCCGCCAGAGGCGCAGCCGCAGCAAAAGAGGTACGCAACATAACAGTCAAATTCCGACCAAGCGGAAGACAACAACATAATTACACGGACCCGAAACAACGTAAAAATACTTTTGACGTAGGACTACGTCTTTGATTTCTATATGGGGGTACACTTTGTGAAAACCGAAAATGGAACATGTAACAAATTAAGAAAGATTTTGAACGTTAATAACTCAGCTGCCCCTGGCCCAATTTCAATAATTTTATCACCAATTGATCAGAAATATGGCTACGCAATGCTTCCGAATGTTGATTTTCAACAAGAAACTATTGAAAAACTGGTAAATGTCCAGCATTGTCCAAAAGCGTCGAATTAACTAACAAATCCACCAATTACCTACATGCATATGCTGCTTCCCCAGCACAGTCGCCAGAGAGTAGTAAGTAGACAAAACAAGTCGAAGTGGCATTCGCCTCCGATCCTCGGGCGCGTACGAATACGGAGGATGGAATTGCGTAATATTTTGCACACTCATCGCCATACTCAGAACCACACGCTCCCAACGACCACACCACTGTGTGGTGGTGTTTGGTCGTCGAAATTAGTAGCAGCAGTAGCAGTGCTTTCGGCGTGTGGCGTTGAAATTTGTTCTCCAGTAACAAAGAAAGGCTGCCTGCAAGCAGCAAGCTGCAGAGCCCACATAAGCAACCATCAAAGGAGGAAGAAGCTGCACCGCTATGCTATGGATCGGAATCAGTAGCTCTTCGTGAGTCGCTGCGGGTCGGTCATCTATGCCAAGCGTGTCACCCTCGCTCTAAACGACATACAGCTCGACAGCCTCATCCGTGTTGAACACCCAGCTCAGAATTACACAACCATCACTACAAAACGGTCCTTTTCAGGGCCACCAACAATTTGTTAAAGAGTATTATTTGGACATTGGTCAAGGTCATCAGTTCCCGCAAGCAGCTAGCTATCAAGGCGCAACCTGTCTATAGAAGATGGGGAATTGTAGGCCTGAATATATTGGTGCAATTAGTTTTTCCTCGGCTTTCATTCCGCACGATTCGTTTCTTTCGTTTCATCAATCACCCTTATAGTGACGTCGAAACTATTGTTTTAATCGGCGCTTATACATATGAAATTTAATGTGGATTATAGAATTTTTTGTATGTTACCAAAATTTATGAATGGTTTGCCACTAAATGTTGAGAAGATTTCTAGATAGAGCTGGAATTAGGGCGTAACAGCTTTTGTAAACAATGACTTCTCTCGAAGATTTCTAGGCACGCCCACGTAATCCAATAAAACCATCGGGTAGGGAAAGTCTTCCTCTACCCGATGGTGATGTTGATTTGCGTGGGCGAGCCTTGATTTAGTAGAAATGATTGAGTGAAGTCAATGTTTACAAAAGCTGTTACGCCCTAATTCCAGCTCTATCTAGATTTATTGATTATTGAATTATCACACTGTATACCATGAAAAAGCAACCTGTTTGTGAGTTTTTGCCTGTTTTCAATTAAGGCGTTATCATAAAAACAAATCGCCAGCGGGTATTTCCCGGCGACTTTACAAATAAATAAAATCAAACAAAATCATCATGTAGAACTAGCTAGGATTTGTTTTACTTCATATTTCACAAAATTACTTTCGAGTGTTAAGACATCGTCTCCCGCAAAGTTTACATTTTTCCCTCTACCAACACATACATCAGGGCTAGATAGATCTCCACAGAATCTATAGAATGCACACAATTTTAAAAAACCAAAATGCACAGCATTACGAAAAGAGGTCAGGTTTCGGCCAATAGTAGATAGATTTTAATTCTAAACAAGCCAAACGATTGGAAATTTATCTACCAATCTTTTAAAATGAACACATAGTTAATTTTCAATAGCTCACTATTGAAAAATACCAAATGCCCAACTGTTGCAATGGTGATCAAAATTATCACCGTATGTCTGAAAACAGTGCATTCCCTAACACAGACATAAAAATCGAATTCGATACGGTCCCACAGAACGGTGCTCATTCAATCACCGTAAGTGGTGGAGTCCAGCCCAGCAGCAGCAGCAGCAGCAGCAGGAGTGCTTTCAACAACAACAACAACAACTAAAGGCTGCCTGCAAGCAGCGAGCTGCAGAGCTCATATTAGCAACCATAGAGAAGGAAGAAGAAGTCCCACCGCTAGGCTAGGATCGGAATCAGTAGCTCGTCGTGCTCAGCTCAGCATTACTCAACCATCACTACAAAATGGTCCTTTTCAGGACCACCATAAATTTGTTAAGAGTATTATTTAGACATTTGTCAAGGTCATCAGTTCCCGCAATCAGCTAGCTATCAAGGTTCAACCTGGTCTCTATATAAGGTAATCCGACCATTTTCCAGAACACGCTGGTAGGAAGTTTTAAGAATCCATATAGAATTTGAGAGAAGTGGGAATAATTCGCTTTGGGTGTATATTCAGTCCCCAGAAAGCCAATAAAATCAAATTTTTGAGAAAATTAGCTCTCACGAGTTCAATCTCTCGAAGTCCCTCCTTTTTAACATATTCTGCACAAACGATACTTTCCGCCCCGCCCCATTCATATAATTCGGAAAGAAAATGCACCAAACTTAAAAATTCATAACTAACAAAAAATTCAAAATATACCTTTTAAAGTCGGGTAGATGAATCGAAAATACTCAAGTTGACAGTCCCTTGGATTCTCTTCATCAACTTTCTCTTTGAAATAAATACTACAAATTTGATACGCTTACAAATAAAAAACGGAAAGAGTTAAGATAATTGATGATGAATCAATTAAAATAACTAAATGTTCACATTTGTTCCGTCCACTAGCGGTCCTACGTCAAGTTTCCGTTCGTGCCCCTAGGCACAGACCCTTCTACTGTTTTCCTCTCATTCTAATATTTGATAGGACTGATCAACAACATAACATCGATTTCAAATCAAAATATTTATTTACGAACGGAAAACGGTAAGTTGATTTTTATTGTTTTTAAACTAAAGCATGCTTTTGCGGATCTGTTGTGATTGTTTGTATTTCTACTCCTTTTTATTCTACTTCTCTATACTTCTAGCCCTATACTTGTGTGCGTTCGGTACAACCAACAATCAATACGAAACTAACGATTTTAAATTGGCTCACCACTTTAGTAGCCTATTGGTCCCAAGCAAACGATTAACGTACCCTATTCTAGTCGAAATTCTAGTACTACGCAATGTTTGTTTTGATTCGCTATGAAAGTTTGACAGATAAAATGAGGGGTTATTGGTTTTTCCTATGTTTCGAGGGGTGATTCGACAAGCTTGGGACCGAAGATAGTACCAGAGGTGAGCCAAAAAGTTGAGCACGTTTCTTCGGGACCTACTTGTCTTAGAGTTACCTCTATGGTACAACTACCTCCTATCTGTGCTGTGCTCTTCTCTGTCTTCTCGGTTCGGTAACTGCGGTTCGGACGAAAGTGAAGCAAAACCGTGACCCACAGATTAGAGAAGGTGACCTCGGCCGAACTTAACGGAAGTTCGATTTTCCCGCGAACTTCTTCGAATGAGATCGGTAATGCGAGAGATTATTCTGATCGTTGGCCCTTCGTTCAAAGTCGGGTGTAGCCACACTCTCTCTTTCCCCAACTTTTCCGAAGGTTTCCCTGGACTCGGCCTTGGGAGAAACTACGCAAGATTGAGTGGCGTTACTCGCGAGGCATTCCAATTTCAACGTAAATCAGCTAGTGTCGTTTCGCTACTGGCATAGTTTTTGGCGTATGGATTAGATCTATTTCGTGTAAATTTTATTTATGACTAATTTAATATTTACAGCATGGAGCAAAGGCTACAGGGAATTGGCTCTAATGTTGGCCTATGGATTTAAGATTGGGCCCATCAATTTTATCTAGATGAACGCTTCATTGGAACCCTACTAATGAATATTTTTGGTCGCTATTGAAAATTTAGTCGATTGCTGAATTTATGTATGGGCCCAAATTAGGGGAATTTAGGCCGACATTACATCCGTTTCCCCTAAAAGGTATTTTAACGATCAAGCACCTGGTTTAAAATTTCAATGTTCACCGTCTGCCGATACTGAGAAAAATCAAGCCTTATAAATCCCAAATTCTAGTCTATCTGTAAAACCTTACCTTGTAAAACCACCCGAAAGCTCATCCGGTGTGCTCCACATACGCACACAATCAACATGACACTGTAGATAACCGATGGTGATAAGCTAGCGATTGTCTTATCGATGCCTGATGATATAAATGGAAAACGATTCATCGGAAACCACTTTAGTCAACATTTGATGCAGTGAGCTAAATCAGACCCGAAGATGCCCGACCCACAGTGCACTCCGATTGTAATTGACAACGGATCTGGATGGATCAAGGCTGGATTGGCCGGAGAGGACGAACCAAGTGCCGTGTTCCCCACCGTCGTCGGAATCGAAGATGTCCATAAAAAAGTGTTCGTAGGTGATGAGCTGCAGGGCTGCACGGAAGAGGAATTGGTTCGGACTAATCCGATAAAGCACGGGGCCATCACCGATTGGAATGCCATGGAAAAGGTTTGGCACTATACATTTCACAATCAGCTGTACCTTGCTCCTGAAGAGCACCCTGTGTTGCTGAGTGACGTCCCTCTCAATCCGAAGGTTTATCGTGAGAAAATGGCACAGGTTATGTTCGAAACGTTCAAGTGCCCAGCACTGTACATGGCAAACCAAGCCGTCTTGAGTTTGTATGCCTCTGGTCGTACATCTGGTGAGACTCACTCACTGTTTATCATAGCAGATTCAATGGAAACATGATTAAAATTTCCCTTTTATAGGAATTGTGCTGGACTGTGGCCACGACGTAACGCATATAGTTCCGATCTTCAGATGTTATGCACTCCCACATGCCATTCGGAGGCTAAACTTTGCGGGAAGGAATCTGACGGATTACCTAGCTAAACTTCTAACCGAGAGAGGAGTATCGATTGAGACAGAAATCGTTCGCGATATCAAGGAAAAGCTTGGATACGTGGCCTTGGATTTTGAAAAAGAAATGGAATCGGCCTCGGAAAGGTACTTTCAGCTTCCAAACGAAAAAAGCATCACAATTGGTAATGAGAGCTTCCGCTGCGCGGAGGCTCTGTTCCAACCGGAACTCATGGAATTGGAAAGTTCCGGCATCCACCAGAGTCTGTACGATTCGATAATGAAGAGTGACATCGATGTTCGGAAGGATCTGTTTTCGAATGTGATTCTTTCGGGTGGGTCCACCATGTTTGGAACGATTCGAGAACGACTGGAACGAGAGCTGGCTGCACTGGCTCCGAAAGCGGCAAAGATTAACGTGATTGCCCCAGCACAAAGAAAGTTTTCCGCTTGGATTGGTGGCTCCAATCTGGCTACGCTGAGCAGCTACACGGAACTGTGGATTACGAAGGAGGAATATGATGAGTTTGGATTGGATATCGTTCAACGCAAGTGTTCTTAGGTTGAGTGATTGAACGGAACGATTTACTTTAATTGAAATCACTTTCATAGGTCAACGAGTTTCAACGAAACTTTTGTTACTTTAATGAAGTTGCGCAAAAAAAATTGCATTATTTTTTAAAGTTTATTTCAAGGACTAACATTTGAAAGGGGCGGAAGAGCCAAAATGTAAACAAACCATATTTTGCAACACATAGAAAGAACAGTTCACAAACTACTCAATAAACACGAAAAAGTAGAAGAAAATATCAGTTCAAATCATCAACAACGTTTCTTTTTACATGGCGGTTGTTACGCCTTGCACCAGAACTACGAATTATATTGTTTTGATATGCCAAACGTACTGATTCTGTAGTATCTAGACACGCGCGATTCATTTGCAATGCATCCGATTGATATTTCACGTGTAAACAACGAACAAAAATAAGACCAAAAAAATCTCCGGGCGTAATTTAACTCTCACAAAATTCAGTTACATCATTTCCAAGGGGCGTAATTGCTTTTGTAAACAATGGCTTTAGCCGCGGATTTCTCGCAACTAAAAGCTCGCCCCTCCAAATTACCAATGCTAGCTAGTAGAAGAAACATTCCTCTACATGTTGGTGTCATTATTTTTCATGAGTAAGCTTTTAATCGCGAGAAATCGACGGTTAAAGCCATTGTTTACAAATGCAATTAGGCCCCTTTGAAATGTTGGCACTGAATTTGCAATCGAAGAACCAAGGCGGAATAACAAACAAAAAATCCCGAGTGTGTACTTCCACGGCGTATCACCAGTGTTGGCAGTTCAAAGGGTTGAAGATCCGGGGGATAGCAGCATGTAAGAAATTATCATGGCGTATGATGTTTTCTTCTCAATTTCACGACGAGGAAAACTTTTTTTTTAGTTTTGCTTTGATGATAGATTTCACTATTAACTATATGATAAGCTTATAAAATCATCCAGAAAATGGAAAGTCGTGAAATAGGATTATTTTTTAGGTCATCAAAATTCGGAAGCGATTTTCTCGACATGGTCATTCTGGAATTACCCCCTTTTCAAATGTTAGTCTAGATTTTAAGGACTAATAAAGTATGAATCGAAATACCGTCATCTTCATGGTTTCGATCTGTTCCAACATTCTTCGAATAAACAATGGAGGAAAATGGGGCAATTAGGCGACCTTAATAAAATCATCACTAATGATACCAAATTCTGAGTAAAACTTCGAATGATTTTTAACCAAATTGATAGTTTTGAGCCCTATTCACATCATGAATACATTTTTTTTTTTCGAGAGTTGACCAACTGCAGTCTTAATAGGCTAGCATCTCGGTTGGGCTCTCCATGCGATACACAATACTAACAGACGACTCGAGCTATGGTGCTCACTAGGTCACTGCAGCTTTCAGGCTCGTATTGTGATCAAATGTGTGTAGTGATATGATATGATATGATGATATGTGATAAATCATGTAGTAAATGTAAATGGAATTTCTAAATAAATAGATTCATTCTTACCTGTTTCATGGTTGTTTGGTTATTTTTTGCTTTTATTAGCTGTTTACAGTTGCCTCATTTAACTTGCTTGTCGTCATTTCGTAAATTCGTTTTGAAGTCATGTTGAGTAGGTGTGGTTTATGGTGTCATATAATCAAATCAGGCAGGAGCTGTATTTTCTTGGTTACTTTCCATCTTCTCGATCAAAGTCCAAACCAAAGCATGGCAACTTATCTCCACTGAAGCCTTCAAATTCGGATGGAATCAACGAGCTGCCTGTGTTGTCCTCATCGATGTCACTTTTTTTTTCTCGTAGTCCGATTCCACCATGGTGTCGTATAATTTTTTTGTCATGCTTTTGTATTTTCCCTATCACAAGATGCTGCTTGCCAATCTGTTATGTCGATATCTTGTCTTATACTGGTCCTCCAAGTAAATGCAGGTCTGCTTATTTTTTTTCTTCATAGGTAGTTTATGTTCCGTAGCCGTTTTGCGTACTCCTTTGTTATCACTGCGGAGTATATGTCCATAGGAGTTGAGACGATTTATTCTAATTTTGTTATTGATCGTTCTTCCTTTAAGCCATTTTGGAGCTACATGCACATCTTCTGATTCTAATTCGTTGTTGTTTGCAGACATGTCCTCAGATGCGTGCTCTGGGATCGGTTCCGGGTTGACTAAAGGTATTATCTAATCTTCGACGTCATTACCTTCGGTTTGGTACCGTTTATCCTCCTCTAGGCCCAGTTGTTTTACAATACTTAGCATATGGTTCTCGATAATCATCTACATTCTGAGCACCCTGCTTTTTCGGAATCGGGATTTGGAAACTATTCCGACCGTCCAAGTTCGAGGAATAACATTGCTTTGAAAAAATTATTTTAGTAGATATGTAAGTTCTACTAGTAGTTCTTCAGATCCATATTTCCAAAATTCATTATGAATTTGGTCCAAACCAGGTGCACTGTTATTTTTAATAGACCATATAATACTCCTAACTTCCTCGATTGTAGGTTCGGGTCTTGCATCTCTCCCATCATCTTCATCGACTGTATGAATTTGTTCCGTATGATTATTGTTGGATGCCTGCTGTTGAGCTTTCTATTCCTATTTCTGTATGTTGATGTACTTTCGATATTTAGATTCCTTCTTTTTCTTATGCTGTTTAATGAATCTAAACACTGCTGTCATTTGAGACAACGGATTTTGATCATTAATTTCTGTCAACAAAGCATCAACTTTTTCAGGGAAGTGTTTTTCGAAAGCATCCTGCTTCCGTTTTCGTGCTTCAATAGCCTTTTTCTTCAAAGTAATATTGTTTTTGTTTGTTAAATGCTTCTGATTTGCCATAAAATAGTCATGAGTAGCTTGTTTTCTCCAAGGCGTCAAGGGAGAACGTTTAGATCCAATTGTTGTGTTGGCAGCTTCTATTACAGTCGACTTGATCCTGCTCCATTTGTCTTCAATATTGGCGATTTCCCTCAGTAGTTTTGGTGTTAGGTTTCGGTCAATCTCGGCTTGGAATTTTTCACGCTCTTCTTCATTTTTCCTTAATGATTCCAAATTGAACTTATAACGCTTCGCTTCCGTTGCCGTTTCCATTTGGATCTGGCGTCTCTTTCGTGGTGTAACTTCAGCTGCTGACTTTAAAGTACATTCAATCATTTTATGATCACTATGCACGTCAAATTTAAAATATTTTCTTATAACTGGGATTTTCAAGAACCCCTGTTGGCGAGTCCACGCCAACGTGCAGCTACTGTAGATCGACTGCAGCTCGGTTTCGACCATCGTGCAACCAACCCAATGCGCACCGGTCTGAACATCTTCATGTCAGTAGTGGTGAGTGAGTAGAAAACTAAAGATAAACAGAGTAAACAAACAAGGTAGAGAAAAAGTAGATAACATTGAAAGTAGAAAAGTACATCAATCATAGCATCGTGTTGCATTTAGTTTTCAATAATAGTTTTCAAGTTCAAACAATTAAAATAAAAAGCTACTAGTTGACTATTGATACTATTGAATTTATTAGGTAAAACATGCATGGATTGAAATTGAATTATACTTTAAATAACTTTATTTACTTAGTGATTAATGACTACAAAGTGAATTCCCCGTGATTCCTAACCTAAAACTAAGCCTTACTTACCTTACCAATCAGGCAGAGGCCTTGTTGTCCTCTGCTGTCCGAAGAAGTCGTCTCCACTCTACTCGATCCATGGCCACAGTTTGCCAGCCTCGTAGTCTGCGAAGGGTCCGCAGGTCACCTTCTACTTGGTCGATCCATCTTGCCCGCTGCACGCCTCTTCTTCTTGTTCCTGTTGGGTCGCTTTCTAGATCCAGCAGCTGGTGCAATTCGTGGTTCATTCGCCTCCTCCACGTTCCGTCATCCATCTGCACTCCACCGTAGATGGTACGCAACACCTTCCATTCGAAAACACCAAGGGTGCGTTGGTCCTCCACGAGCATAGTCCAGGTCTCGTATCGTAGAGCACCACCGGTCTAATCAGCGTCTTGTAGACAGTCAACTTCGTGCGGCGGCGAATTTTATTCGACCGGAGCGTCCTCCGGAGTCCAAAGTAGGCACGATTCCCTGCCATAATGCATCTTTGAATTTCTCTGCTGGTATCATTTTGGGCGGTCACCAGTGAGCCCAAATACACGAACTCATCGATCACCTCGATTTCGTCACCGTCAATCTGAACTCGGGGTGGGAGGCTAACATTGTCTTCCCTAGAACCTCTTCCTTTCATGTATTTTGTCTTTGATGCGTTGATGGCAAGTCCAATCCGTCTAGCTTCAGCCTTCAGTCTGATGTACGTTTCCGCCATCATCTCAAAGTTCCGTGCCATAATGTCAATGTCATCGGCGAAGCCAAGTAACTGGATGGACTTCCTGAATATCGTGCCACTCGTGTCTATCCCAGCTCTTCTGATCACACCTTCTAACGCGATGTTGAACAGCAGACACGAAAGTCCATCACCCTGCCGTAACCCCCTTCGAGATTCAAAGGGACTCGAGAGTGTCCCCGATACTCGAACAACGCACATCACTCGATCCATCGTCGCCTTGACCAATCGCGTCAGTTTATCCGGAAATCCGTACTCGTGCATAATCTGCCATAGCTGATCTCGATCGATTGTGTCGTATGCGGATTTGAAATCGATGAACAAATGATGTGTGGGCACGTTGTATTCGCGGCATTTCTGCAGAACCTGCCGAATCGCGAAAATTTGGTCCGTGGTAGCGCGGGCACCCATGAATCCCGCCTGGTATTGCCCCACGAACTCTCTTGCATATGGTGACAGACGGCGGCATAGAATTTGGGAGAGTACCTTGTAGGCGGCGCTCAGCAGTGTGATCGCGCGATAGTTGCAGCAATCCAACTTGTCGCCCTTTTTGTAGATTGGGCATACGACACCTTCCATCCACTCCTCCGGTAATATCTCCTCCTCCCAAATCTTGGCAATTACCCAGTGCAGCGCTCTAGCCAGTGCTTCACCACCGTATTTTAATAGCTCACTTGGTAGTTGAT